CTCTCTCACTGTATCACTGTCTGACTGTTTCACTCTCTGGGTATTCACTGGCAGCAGTACAAGTACACACTGGTCGAGTCCACTTTTATCAAAAAGGGGTGGACCCCTTAACACTTTAATAAAAGTGAAACATGTTAGATTGATATACGTTTCCTATTTATATATATATATATACCGTATTTGCCGGCGTCAGTTTTTTTTTTGCGGGGGGGTTAATAAGTCCCTAAAATGTACATAACATACAGGAATTCTGTTTACCGTCGGGCATAGACAACCTTCCTCTGGGGTTACCTTATAACTATGAATGCCCTAACCTTCGCGCGAGAAATTTTCGAAACTTCAGGAAAAATGCGTCATTGACGCCTGCAAATATAGTATATATATATATATATATATATATATATATATATATATATATATATATATAAAGGTATCAGATACAGATTAAATATGGATAGGAATCCGACAGGATGATAGAATAAAGAACACATAGGAAAAAATTATACATCTAACATGTTTCGCTTTTATTAAAGCTACATCAGAGAATGAGATATGGAGAAAAAGAAATGTTCGTATATTTGTTTTTGCGTTATTTAATTTTCTTTGGTTAAGCAGACTTCACTTTTATTTGTCATGCTAAGCAGCGTTTGTGTGTATAATTTATGTGTGTAAATGTATCGTCATTGTAGTTTGTCTATGCGGAATTCGGATGATAATATATATTTGTAAGTGTGTGTGTGTGAGTATGTGTACGTTTTTTTTTTCATTCATATATATATATATATATATATATATATATATACAAAAAAATGCGGTCCCGTTTCCTTTTAATGTTATGCATGACGTCACTTCGGAATAATTCGAGACCTTTAGATCTCTGGAACTACCAGAATATAGCAAACGGAATTTTGCCTACTACATTGACAGCAAATGGTTCTTGTTAATGACTAAGACAATTGAGTGTACTTGAAGAAAATAAAAACAAACATGAACTACGGACAGCTTATCCACAATTTCAACCCTGACATATCTTATTCGCTAATTGGAAAAATACAATAAAAAATTTAAAAGACAGACCTTAACAGATGTATTTAATAAAACTTGTTTCACTTTCATGCAAAGCACCTTGGAAAGGCATGAAGACATCCCATCCCTAGCCCAAAATATGGATTAGAATAATCGCTACATGTTTAAATATATCAATTATTTATGGAATGTTAGAAATTTGCATGTTGCTTTTATTTAAATTTTATTTTAATCATCTAGATAGGCGTAAGCTTGAATATGCGTCTTTTAGCACAACATTAATTATTTACAATGTCTGCACGATTGATATATATATATATATATATATATATATATATATATATATATATATATATATATATATATATATAATGAACAATAAGAAAATAAAAAATTAAAATCTTTAAGAAAATAAAAAATTAAAATCTTTAAGAAAATAAAAAATTAAAATCTTTAGACACACTGGGTTGTAGATTAATATTCTTTCGTTTTTTTTATTTTCCATTTAGATTCCTCGACTAGTTTCGACCAAAATGGCCATCATCAAAAGAAGAAGTATTTCTGCTTGCTGGTAGCAGTAAACTACAGAAATGAATGTCTTGATGGAGAAAATTAACTTTTGTCGGTAGTTTTCATTTGTTTTTTTATTTTTTATCTTTTTAAAATGAATCTTTTAACATTCATTGTGTTGGTCAAACAGTCTCTTTTAAGTTGTTATTTGTGATAAGAGCTGGATAGATACATATTATTCTGAATTCTCTGGTCAGTTTGAAAGTTTTATTGGACCTGGTGAGGGGTGTATATATATATATATATATATATATATATATATATATATATATGGGGGAGAGAGAAATAGAGAGAGGTAGCTTTTCATTTCGACATGTATTACTGAATACAACAGGCAAGGAAAAATTCGTGAACTTTTATGTAGGTTCAAGAGAAACAATGTTTGGTTCAAGACTCTGTAGAAATTGTCCTTAATTCTTATCGTTGGTTTAGGCACTTTAAACGACTCTCTGGTTATCTTCAGACACAAGACATGACAGTTATTTATCAAGAGAAGCCGAGATTATGAACTCAAGTTGAAGTCCTGTTAGTATTTCTGTCAGAGAATCTTTTGATTTAAGGAAGGCGCCATTGGAATCATGAGGAAAATCATTGGTTATAGTTTCGGTACTTTTGGCCCTAGAACATTAATTTTGGTAAAAACTGTTAGAATCGACTATAAGAAGAGTCTTGAACGAACTGTTCGTTGACTTGTACGAAGACAAGAAGCTATAAAAGGAATAACGAACTATCTATACATTTTCTTTCGTATTCAATAATTGCGCGTGTGAAGTTGATGAGACAAAGTGAAAAATTTATTAAGGATGCGTTTCGGCGCGGGGTAGGGGAGGTCGTCTACTGTCTTTGGCTTCCTCGGGTTAGATTCTGACCTGTAGAAGCGAAAGAGAGCAGACGCTTTCGGTTATACGCGGCGTTATTAAATTTTCCACTTTATCTAATCATCTTCACGTTTGTTTCGGATACTATTATGCATCACACACACATATATATATATATATGGGGGGGAGTAGTGAGGTCTTAGCGAGATCCATCCTTCGAACCTCGTCGGCTGGCGCAACAGAATCACAAACAAAATACCGTACCAAATAAACCACGTCATTTGAGAACTTTCAACAGCAGCAAAAAACTAAAATGGATATCACATGTAAGATAGAAAGTAAATAATGACATAATCAAGATTTTGACACTCCACACTACGTCAAACAAAAGGTTAGGAAAGAATCTCCCAACAATACTGGAAAGAGTGATAACAGCTACTAGGCTTGAGAAGAGAAAATAATGACATAATCAAGATTTTGACATTCCACACCACTTCAAACAAAAGGTTAGGAAGGAAACCCCCATCATTACTGAAAAGAGTGATATCAGTGAACTCGAGAAACCTATTTTTCTGAAGAATTGTTTTAATAGAAATATTTTATAAATTTGCACCGACCATAGCAATGGCTGCTCGGTCAATGGACGCTGAATGTTTCCTTATAAGGAAAAATCCAATATTGTCATTACCATTACCACAGCATCGATTTCAGCAAATGGACCGCTAGACTACTCATGATTTGATTCTAGTCGTGGAGGCTCTTATAGAACCATTCACACGTTTCAGAAAAATTGATAACAGAAATAGTGCACAGTCTTTCCACGAAAACTCTAAACCACCCTCTTAAGGTTTTAATTTAGAAATTTTCGTTCGCCTAGACTGGTTGCTACCGAAGGCAAGAGAGTCCAGTCTGCCATGCTATTTAACCCATAGATGGGAGCATATGTTTCTAAAAACTTGAGCGAGAACTGAACTACAGGAATCTGAATCAAATCAAATGACCTAAAAATGTTCAAGATTTTTACTACTTTTTTATCATTTCACTCCAAGCAAGACGGAAATGCCACTAGTACGCAGGGAGTTACAGAGAGTGAAGGTGAGAGAAAAGACTAGGTACAGGGGGGGGACTGAATAAAGGATAAAAGCTGAACGGGGTTCAAGAAGATAGAAGATGGCGATTGAAGTTGTATTTAGATTTTTGAAGATCGTAGTCTTCAGGGAAGTAAGGAAACGGTAGGGAATTCCACAGGCAGGAAGTCATTTTTGGAGTAGAAGTGACGATTACATTTACCTAATTCAACAGTAAAATGCCAATCTAGTAGCACGCTTAAACCAACGTAGTTCGAGCATCAGAGAAAAAAGCTCGTCAGAGCAGTTACCATGAAAATATTTGTAGAAAAGACAGAAGGAAGCCACGTCACGACGTTGAGAAAATGACAGAGTCACTCGAGAGGCCAAGTCAGGATCGATTACATTGCAGATCCTTCTTTGGATCTTGTCAAGATCTTCGAGGTGAGTAGCAGGAACACCTGACCAGATCTGGTAATAGTATTAAATGCACGAACGGATGGTAAATTTGTGCAAGATGGACTCTGACGAGAAAAACCTTCTGGTTTGACACAGTGACCCAACATTCCTTGCAGTAGATGCAGATATTGATTTGATGTAGTCGTTCCACTTCAAATCTGTTGAAAATGTGAAGCCATGAGTCTAGCATCACCCATGTCAGGGAAGTTTCTCTGTGGTGGTTAAATGAGAGCAGTTTCGTTTTGGAGGCATTAAAAGTTACAAGCCATTTTCTGCCCCAGTTAACCACTGATTGGAGGTCCTTTTCAAAGGCAGCAGCCAGGTTAACTTTGTCAGCTCTGATGGGTTTGCTATTGAGACGGGAGTAAATGGTAGTGTCATCAGCATAAAAGGGAACTGATGACATAGAGGAGATCATTGATGAAGATCAGAAACAGCGTAGGGGCCAGGATAGGACCTTGTGAGACACCCGCATTCGTGTGTAAGGATCTGGAAGCGATCCCGTTCAAAAAGACCTTTATTTCACGATTTGATAGGAACGATTGGATTAAATCAATCACATGTCCAGTAATAGCCATGCAGGTTACGTAGAAGACCAGCGTGCCAAATTCTGTCAAACGTCTTCGAGATTTCTAGAGCCACGGCTCGAGCTTATCAAGTGCTTGATATACATATTCAGTGATGGCCGTTAGCATATCAAGGCTAGATCTGGCAAAAACGGAAGCCATATTGTCAGAGTGTAGGTCGTGAGAGGTAAGATGCTTAACCACTTCAGCATTAATTAAAGCATCGAAAATTTTGCCGAGAAGCGGTAGGAGACTAACAGGGCTAGAGGGGCCAGAAGGTCTTCCGGAACTACAAAGGAGGACTTCCAACATGCAGGAAAGCAGAAAGCAGCGAGGCAATAGTTGTAGAGTTTGGAAATAACTGGAGCCAGCTCGGGATCACATTTCTTTAGAACGACGACTGGAATCCCGTCACCTCCGGTTGCCTTATAGAGTGTAATTTAGAAATAATGTCTAAGACTTATGACGGGGTCATATTCAATGGTCGACTTATTGTCATATCACGATGAAACACTGTTTCCCGTACGATCACCGAAGATAAGCAACATCAAGCCTGGTCAGTAATTAGGTGGTTGACCGCTTGGGAATACCAGATACTGTAAGCTTCGATGTACAGGTGGTGTAATGGATAATGACTCAGAATTAGAACTCGGCTTTTCGTCTTCAAATTTTAGTTGCTTTCGTTATATTCACTTCCACGTTAGGAAAGGTATGAATCAACATCTTCTCCCCAAAACTATGGGTTAATTAGTATGACTTGTGTCAGTAATTAATTATTATCTCCGAAAAATTATTACAATCTAAAAATTATTTTCTGGCTTTAAATAACATACGAAAGGTTGATAAACTATAAAAAAAGAAATCAATAGCAAAATTAAAAATATTGATAGATTGAAAAATATTAGGATAAGCTGTAAAAAGAAATAAATGAAAAAACTTATTCACTGATCTCAGGAGTGCCATGTGTCTTCAGGTCCGGGTAGATATAGTTTCTTAGCCTTGGTTGGTAGTCTGTCTACGAAAAAGATCACTGATTGCAAAACCGGACAGCTAGATCGAACTCCTTAAACTTAATGACAGCTCTTCTTGTGGCAAGTGCCTTCATCCTACGTATTTCCCCCGACAAGAGTCATGAACAAAAGTGGGGTTGGTAATTATACCAACGGCTCGAAATGAGAAATCGGAGAGCCGAGTTCGAATTCCAGTCGAATTTATTACATTCACTTACGCGCAAATATATGAGGGAACGATATGAATCTTTGATCTCATTCCGATGGACAGACAGTGAAGAAAACCATAACTCGAACAGCACTGGCAACTAGGTCAAAGAATGCCGTATGTTTCCTTATAAGGAAACGGTTAATATTACCATTGTAGTTATGCACCTTGCAATCTCTGCGAAACAAATCCCATTGTCTGTTCGTACACTTCTCATTCACATTTCCAAAATGCACTTATTCTATGAGTTGCTTCTGCAATTTTTATTCCAAGTCGAATTTCAGAAAGTCAACCAGCTGTCATTGTTAAATATAATGCAGCTGAAATAAAATTCATACATGAATTTTTTATGGTTGGGTAAGGAATGTTAAATAATAATTTCAGACTATTATTTTTTAGTGGCTCAGACCTTTTGAGGCTGACCTTTAAGGTCAGATGGTAGACAAAACAGGAATGTCGATTTTGATTGGCTGGGCCGAACGGGGAAATGAGTTATAGCTTAAGGTTTTTCAGAGAGTTGCTGTTTGGACGTCAAGCTAATTAGATGTGTTAGATTGCGTTTGTGTGCACCCCCCTCCAGTGCGAAAGAGTCTTTCGAGAGTTGGTTTTTACACGTCAAAGGAAATGGACGTATGAGATTTCGTGTTTGAAAGCGGCTGCGTAATATGGGGTGTAGTAACCACCACTAGATAGAATGTACGTCGGTGACACTAATAAAAATCTAAGCTAATAGTTCTTTTTGTTGATGCCTTTCGTCTCTGAATTCAAAGAACTTTTCGCGACACCGACCAAGAGAAGAAGAGGATTGAACAAAAACGACCAGCGATCACCGGCCAGACGAGATGAGACCAACCAACAACCACACTTCCAATGAAGCGTATACAACATCATAATCAACTTTTGAACTGCAATGTTGATTTCACTCATCGTTATTATGGCAATGATAAAAATAGCTGCTTCCATACAGGAAACATTCATCATTCATTAACAATATTACCCCATTCCTTCTTTTTCCTTCTTCCTTTCCACCTTCCCTTTTTCTTTCTCCTACCTACTTCTCCCCACCTCTCTCTCTCTCTCTCTCTCTCTCTTAACTGTCATCCCTACAGAGGCGAGTTTCTAGTTTCTAGTTTCTATTCTTTACTTCACTAATACATTGACAGCTTAGTTTAATACAGCACAAAAAGACTGTATAGCATCAGTATTTCTCATATGTAAAACCTGTATGCCTTGAGAAAAACATTCTGGCTTTTTTATTTACTTATTATCCTTAACCTATCAGCCATTAGGTTAAAATGGGTAAAACAATCAGAAAACAAAAAAAGAGTACCATCAACGTGCAGAAAATCGAAACATTGATTTAGAAAAGCGTTTAAGACAGTGGAAGAGGTACATTGTACACAAGTACAGTTACCAACTACCAATATAATCAAAATGTATTTTGATTTCCTTTTTAAAGGCATCTAAAATCTTGGCATTGACTAACGAACGAAAAAGAATGTTTCACTTATTCACTACCCGATGCGAAAAAATATTTACGTATCTTCACACGATAGAACAGCAGTTAAAATTGTTTTAATAGATATTCTCATGTAGATTTATACTAGCTTTTAGTAAAATATTTCTCGAAATCTGTCATCAATTTGATTTACTATTCTAAGTAACTTATTAAATTAAGTCTAAGACGTTAAGTTTCAAAAGTTTAAGACCTTTCAGTCTGTCGGGGTAAGGCATATTTTCTCATTTCAGAATTTGTGTGTGTTTTTTTTTTCTAACGCTGAGTGTATGGCGACCACACACAAATAGTATAATCTAAAATAAGACGTACTTGCGATAAATATGGATTCGAAACCTGATCTCAAATACCTTTGAGGAATGCGTAACGATCTCAAACTACGATAAGCCATTTCCGTATTCTTAGAAATTGATATATTCACTGTCGTCGACTGTACATTGTTTTTCTTGCCTGCCAGTGTCCAAACACATATACTTGTCTACTAACCCAGACACTTTCAAAAGTCACGAAAGAGATTTTGATCCATTTCTTGGATCTAATCACACATACACGCACGCTATAAGTGAGCTCGGATGAGATTCCCATTTCATTACTTTTGGGATACACTGAATCAATCAAGCTGTCCAGTAACGAAAAAAAAAAAAGTAGCAAATTCTCTTGACAGTTTCCGACATCAGGAAAAGGCTACAATATTAAATTCTGTTATTGAACACAAACCAAACAACCACACTCGACTCCTCCCACGTCCACAAAAATTCAGCCCATGAGGCAAAGCAATATAATTACAGGGGCCCTCAACATACGGCAGAGTTCCGTTCCGACGACGCGTCCAAACGCGATTTTTCAAAACGCTTTTGAACTCTACCAATACAGGCAAGCGGGAACTGATGTATCTTTGTTTCGCTATCCAATGGGCAACAATCAAGCCATCAGTACCTTTAATAATATATCGTAAAATTGTCATAAAGTAATAATCTAGGACATAACAACTCATTTCTATGACATATCTTAGTATAATTAGGACTAAAAAAACTAGTGGATGACTTAAATATGATACATATAATGAAAATAATACATATAAAGAAATGAAATTGTTTCAAGCTGCTTAGATATTTATTTCCAATGATGTCATTGGCTCTCAATAGATGAGATGACGAAGCATAAGATCTTGTCTTTCTTGTAGTATTCGGAAGCAACAGCAAATACTGGAAAGAAAGAAAAACAAACAAGAAAATGCCTTTATCTCTTACAGGGAGACTTAATATGTATACACATATCTATAATTTTTAGCGACAACTTATACAAAGCAACTGGCCAATGTTTTTCACTGTTTCTTCTTTTTCAGACTGTTTAACAATGTCTAATTTCATTTCCATGGTGATGACTTTCTTTTTCTTCAAAGGACCCTCTTCAGAAGAGGTTGCACTACGTTTGGGAGCCATAATAAGGGACTATGTTTCCACAAGCATAGCATAAACGAAAGAAAACGAATGCACAATAGTTTACTTTTACTGATTTTTTTTTACCGATAAAAATCCTACTAATTAACCAATAGCTGGGGTGGGGAGAAGAGGACATTTCATACCTTTCCCAAGAGAAAATTAGAACTCGGCTCTACGATTTCCAATTCCAAGCCGTTATCCTTTATACCACCCGCACATCTAAGCAATCACCCATCTCGCTAAGGACCAGATACAACGTTGCTTAACTTCGGTTGTCGCAACGTAATATCACCGCAACCGCTGTTGATCTAAGTACATTATTGTTAGTTCACAGTAGGACAAAGTTCTTTACAAATACCCTCCATGACGACCGTGACTTTACTATTCTTAGCTATATCATACAAGTAAACACCTCTATTTTATCTATGCATATTTTGTTTCGTCTTTTTGCTATTGCGTTCGCTATCCAATAGGTAAAAATCAAGCCATCTTTTGCTCACCCTATTATCCTTTCTTCTGGCTATGTCTCCTGCCTACACCCATTTTTTATCGTTTAATTATTCATATGATACCTCTTATCTTTGTTACCTGGTCTATGTTGACCTTTTTTTACTAGTTCTCACCAAATTCAAGGCTCAAGAGACACTCAAGGTAGAGGTTCACTGTGTAGTGTAGTATGAGCGTAAGAAAAGATAAATAAAATTCATGAAAATATATAGGAAAATTAACGGTTAACCCTACACTTGAAGGGGTCAAGATTGTAGATATCGAGTCTGCTGGGAGTCTGTTCCGCAAAGCAACAGTCCTTGGGAAGAAGCTGTTCCAATTGAACCTACTTCTTATTAATCGAATACAAAGAGACTAGGGATGATTCACACTTGTGTACGTGGCATGGTGGGTCCCAACTGGTAAGCTCAGTGCTTGTTGAAGAAGAAATGTAGCTCGTTAGAACACAAACCATGGAAAAAGCGATAGAGTAGCGAGAGAAATACGATTTTTAGTCTGTGGAAAAGGGGTTGGAGGGTGGAAAATAATTCATCGTCCGCAAGGCCGCGTCGACGCTTTTGAACTTTTGAACTCTATCAGTACAGACAAGTGAGAACTGATCAGCTCCATACATGGCAGCAATGCTCTATTTTTGGTCTGATCTGGCTTTTGCAAAGATAGCGTATATCAGTGTGGGGTCAGACACTATCTGGAGCGGTACTTTGAGACGACCATTTTTCAGTATCTTTAATAATACATCATATACATGAGTTTCACTCAATATCACATCTTATGTGGTACTTCTGATACGTATTTAGAGATTCTTGATAAAATGCAAAGAAGAATCTGCAATGCTATTGGTCCTGACCTGGCATCACGGCTTTGGTCAGTTTCCCACCCTGTGCCTTTTCTATAGATATTTTCACGGTAATTGCTATAAT